GGATCACTTTATTTCTATGATGATCAGTTAATCATAAACGCTGATTTATATGTAAATTCACTTGTTATAATTTACTTCAATCTTCCCATTGATGTTTAGCAATGCAATTGATCAGTCTCTTATTGACACATGTACATAGTGTGTGTATGGCCTCGATATTATGTTAATTTACAAGCATTATAAACAAAGATCGATAGTGGCTAGTAATGGAATCAAGTTTGACGCGCGTTTCGTCCCTATTTGGGAATCGTCAGCCGGATATACGTGCATCTTAGAGTTGATTTACACTCTTGGACTCGAAGTGAGAAAAAGTATTTACCTTAAAGAAGTGGTCTACACTAAGTTGTGAAACTTTTATTTTAATATATCAAATTAAGCTTTGGTAATGACATTCACAAATACACATTTATGATGGAACTGTCATATAACTGGATTCTGATGTTCATCGAATATTCCAGAATTCTAAACAAACTATGCCGATTTTCTCTTCTGAAATATAGATTATGCAGGTCAAGTAGAAGCAATTCATAAAATATAGCGTGTTATGAAGTTAATCTCCATATCTATATTGAGGGATTCTTGTACTGTTTCTAACGATGAAACTCCATTGTAATTGCGAATAAATGTCTTAAAATGGGAATACGTATAGTAATACCAACTTTCAAGTGGAAATTCCTGATATCATACGAACGGAAACGCTAGCTTAAAGTCATATCTAATGACTAAGTAATAACACATACTTATATTAAACTGACTAGGAGAACGCATTTGATAGCATGAACAGAACAACACTATGGAGACTTCTTCGATACTACGGCGTACCTGAAAAGAATTCCTATGACAGATTAAACTGCAAAATCGTGCATGGAGGACATCTGAAAGACTCGTTCGAAGTAAAGACAGACGTCAGGTAACATTGCTTATTCTCACCCTTTCTCTTTCTACTGGTGGTCGATTGTATCATGAAGACGTCAACATCTGGGGAGAAAAATGGGATAAAGTGGACAGCTAGGATGCAGCTGGACGATATAGACTTCGCAGATGATCTAGCTCTTCTATCGCAAACGCAACACCAAACGCAGGAGAAGACGACCAGTGAAGCAACAGACTCTGCAACAGTAAGTCTCAACATACACAAAGAGAAAAGTAAGATTTTCCGATACAACACAACATGCACTAATAAATCACACTTGACGGAGAAGCTTTGGAGGATGTATAAACCTTCACATATCTGGGCAGAATCACTGATAAGCACAGCAACAGCAGCATACCTACAATTGAAGAATTTACAACACAAATGTCAAGACAATTCTACTGTATGGGGTGAAACTTGGAGAATCATGAAAGCCATCAGCCAGAAGATAAAAGTGTTTATTAACAGTTGTCTGCGCAAATTACTTCGGATTCGTTAGTCAAACACTATCAGTAACAACCTGCTGTGGGAGAGAACAAATCAGATCCCAGAGGAAGAAAAAATCAGGAATTAGATAGGACACATATTGAGAAAAGCACCCAACTGCATCACAACACAAGCCTTCATTTGAAACCCTCAACACCAAAGAACACATTAAGCTGAGAAATGGATACAGACATAAGAAGAATGAACAACAACTAGATAGCACTAGAAAGGAAGGCTTAAGATAGAGTGAGTTAGAGAATGCTAGTTGTCAGCCTATGCTCCCTTGGAGGTAACAGGCCGAAGTAAGTAAGTAAGTATATTAAAATATTCAATATATCCGAAAGTAATCAAAACTTCACAAAAACGAGAACTTTGTTGACGATTGAATTTACATTCTAAATAGCTTCAATATTCATTGAATAGAATATATTTTGATCATTTCTAGTGTATATAAATTACCGATAGATATTATGTCTATTTTGATGATACAGAATGATTACTGTTAGATTTTTATTGTCAAATTACCGTATCTCAAATAATAAAGTAAAAATAAATATCAACAATGGCGTCGGTGTATACACTCTCTATCTTCCTTTAAATTAAGAGATTGAAATCACTTCAAATCTTTCTTTCTAGGAACTAATTCTTTCTTTCTGTACTATCTCCTTATATACAAGCTTTCTTCTATATATTACCACCACTGAATGAACTACTTCTATGAATCCGGTGTTCATCTTGTTGGCAACTTGGACCGATGCATATACATGCCTGGTCCTACGTTGTAGCTGACTGACTGACTGAGATAAACTATAATAGTATAAGGGGAATGAAAAACTAAAAAGATTTTGCAAAAAGAAAAATAATTATCACTTTTTGATTGGCATTCAGTCAACAACAACGTTGAACATCGTACGTAGATACGTACGTACGTCAGTTCGAGTTGCCATACCACATTAACACAGAGATACAATTGTCGATTCAAATCCCATAGTAGTAGAGGTAGTAAAAGTATAAACAGTAATAAGAAACATTAGGGTTTGAAAATGTTATTCAAGGAGTATAATTCAGTGAAATAAGTTTGGAAAGAGAAAAAAAATGAAAGAGATATGAAGAATTCAGAAGATTAGAATTTAGGAGAACACAAAGAGTGGATACACCGACACCATTGCAAAAGATTTTCAATCATGTGTCATCCAAGGTCTCTAACCATCAGTTGCTAATTAATTAATGTAAATGTAAGCTACCTCCCCCTCTCCCAATGTTGATCTATCATTGACTACAAAACGGTTGTAACAGTATTAAATTAATACTATTCAATCATTGACTAATGAAAATGAACTTAGATCACTTTTTAAATTTTTAGTAAATAAAAAACCAGTTCAATATTAAAGGTTTCTGGATAGAATTCCAACATTTGATTTACAAGCATCATAACTATAGTTACAAATATCACTTACGTCTGTTACTCCCAATTATTTATTTATTTATTTTAACACATAGATATCAGTACAAGGAGGCACCAAATACATATACGCCACACATATCTTAATGGATATGTGCGAGGGCCACAGCACGAGCCTTCGACCTGAACGTTTGATCAACAAGGCAGTGGAGCATCGTAAGGAGATGCAGTTCCATGGTAGCCGGTGACCAACGATTGGTTCATACGCCATTTTTTCCCGCAGGATACTGGAGCCCATGTGCACCATTGGTTTAGGATCCGGTTAAAGCGCCGGACATTCGCTTTTCGTCCTCTCAATTTCGAGAACAACACCGCCGCCACGAGAAGGCAGTGAGTAGGACTTCCCTGGCTGAGGCTATATAGGCGTGGCCATGTGAGAGCATTTGGAGAGGGAGAGCGGACTCTCCTCACTCTCGGCCGTACCAGGGCATTTGGGGGTGCTTGGTACCTGTGTGGTTGCGCCACAGGATTGAGCTACACTATTCAGATTGTAGCGTTAAAGCCTATACGGTGTCTGGCTTTCCTGTTAAACGGGTTTGGGCTGTACTGTTTGGGTTGTCACGTGAAAGTCTGGACGGTGTCTGGTTCTCCTGAAAACCGATGTAAAATTACCCTAGCCCACAAGGGTATATTATATAACTGTTACTCTCAATGAAGTATAGGTCATCGATACCACTTATTTTCGAGTAAAAACGATTATGAATTCTATATAGGTATTCCTTTTATAAATGACTTGATTTAACCTAATATATGTTTAACATATTTTCATAGAAAACGGAAACCTTATCAGTTTAAATCATAAAAAACAAACAAACAAACAAACAAACAACATGGAAACACATTTTAGAATTTCATTATAAGAGAACACAACTATATATGTACAGGTGAGTTCCAATAGTGTATCCTATGTAGTGATTATGCACTGGACAGTTAAAAGATGAGTAAAATTATATATATATATTGGGAAGATAGAAAAAAATATAGGGAAACTGATCAATTCAGTCTTAAATGTTAAACAAATGTAAAGATTTAAGCAAGACAATGAGAAAAGGAGCAGAATAATAGTTACCACACACACACACACACACACAGGTAGAGAGAGAAACACATAGTTGTTTATTCAACAGAAAATTTATTTATTTATTAATACGTATCAATAATAAGCTTGTAAATGAGCAAACACGTATACAAATGTGTTTAATGAAATGACAAAGATAGACTAGTTATTTTCAAAGCAGTAAGAGTATAGATTACTCTGATGAACAATAAGATGTATACAATCAGTTACTTCTTTATCTTCATCATCATCATCATCGTCTTCTTCTTCTTCTTCTTCTTCTTTGTTTTTATCGAATTATTACTTAATGAATATATGTGTATAAACTAGAGAGTAAGAAAGAGAATGATGAAATATGTATATAATTAATAAAGATGATAATTGTATTGAAAAATTCAAAATGAGAAGTTACACTATTCACAATGAACTGATAGTGACTATAGGAACAACAACAACAACAATAACAATAACAACAACAAATAACAACAACAACAACGGCAGCAACAGAAGCAGCAGTATTCTTCTTAGAGATTAATTGAAATAAAACAATGATAATGATTGTTAGGATAGTTGATTAAGAAGAGAATATAAAATGAAAACGATAAGATCTTGTAAACATTAAAAGATCTACACTCATATGTACATATAGAATGTTTTAAAAAGAGATAGATTAGTGATAAGAAAAACAGAGAAAAGAAGAACAAGAATAAGAACAAGAAAGATTGGAATAAAATCTATAAATATAGAACAAAATAGAATGTCCTTGAAGAATATAAATCTCTAAGAAGAAAAGATAGCATTGATGATATTCATAGATTGAAGAAGATGATGAAGACTAGAAACAATCATTCGATGAAACCAAGTTATCAGAAACAAATATATATATAAACAACTCTTTATATATTCATTTAATAATGACAATAGTAATTCATGAATAAAATTGAGGTAGATCATAGGTGTGTGTGTGTGTGTGTCTGTGTAGTTTAATTGAATGATGTATTTATCATTTTGTAATACCAATCTAAATACAATGCACTGGTATATAAATGTAGTAGGAATGAAATGAGTATAACCATATATGCTTTATATATATATATATATATATGGCAACAGTTTAATGTAACATAAAACATCATTTAAATAGAATGAGGTAGATGAATGAATAATATCAATCAAAGCAACAACAATAAAAACATGAAAATAAATGTGATTTTTTAAAAAAAAAACAAAAACAATAACAACAAAAAAGAGTGGGGGGGAGAGAGAAATAAGGAACCATGCACCATTGAAATAACAGTTAATCATAGTAGTTGTTATAAGTTAATCAATGAATTGTTACTAAGGAATTCAATTTTCTATTGACTTTCATAATTGGGATTGGTACTGTTGTTACTATGATTATTATTATTATGATTGCTATTCAATGAGAATAATGTCATTGATACATTATGAACAAATTCCATGGTAGGTTTAAGTTCTTTTGGTTGTAAATCTCGAGGAATCTATAAATGAATGTAATGAAGAAAAGATAAAAGTAAAATAATTTATGTAATCTGAACAACGTTCAATTTATGATAAAATAATCATTAAATAAAAGATAAAAACCATAGTAACAACTGAATCAACAATATCCTCGTGGTGGAATGGAAAATCTATTTATCTGAACACGTAAATATTGGTATAAAAGAGGCATCGAATATATATGTGTCACACAAGTCATTTGATTTGTGTGTGTGTTGTGATACTACCTGGGTGACTAAACCGAAACAGATGATTTTCTTAAGGAGTCACAACTGGAGCCTTTCACCCAAAGGTCTGATCCCCAAAACAATGGAGCAACATCAAGAAATGCAGTCCGATGGTAGCCGGTCATCAACAATAGGTCTGTACGCCATTTGTTCTATCAGGATCGTGAAGCCCGTGTGCAAAATTGATGTGAAATCAAGATTTTTCAACTTTCCTAGGTGGATCCTTCATATCCACCAACCCGGTTAAAATGCCGAACATTCTCTTTTCATCATCTCAATTACGCAAACAACAGTAATGCCAAGAGAAGGCAATGATTAGGACTTCCGTGAAAGTGACTTCAAATTAACTAATCTACATAATCCCTCCCTATCGTAATTACTATCATTATCTTCTTTCTATATCGAGTTAATTACATGATATTAATAGATTTCTGTATGTATCCGGATTGTGCTTAGTAGTTTCAGATACATTAAAACACAAATAATATAACTTTTTTATGATTTACGGGGATTTTTTCCCTTCAAGTTGTCTTGTTTTATAATTAAGCATCATATTAAAGGTTGTTTCACATAGCTACAAAATATAAATCAGTGTATAAAATTTATTACCTATATATAAAGATTAAATTATACAACAATTGATTGGGTAGAAGAGCATGGAAACATGAGTAAAATTTTTTGTCTTGAAAGTTTAACTCAGTAATAAAAAAACAGAGAGGTGGGATTGATTTGTAAAATACAAACTAAACTTAAGTGGATTTACTCTTTAACATATATAAAATTTCAATGGCTGAGATCATGAGTCATATGAATCTAGACCACCATTGAAAACCTGGAAGCACTGGATGGCTTCTCTGTCCTAGTATAAGACGCCTCAGCGGTGCGCACCCACGATCCCGGTCGCAGGATTCGAGCCCAGGACCTTTCGATCTCGCGCGCGAACACTTAACTTATAGACTAATGAGGAGACCGACATCCAACAATGTTAGTGTCTAACTCCAACCATCTTCTAATGCATTAAGGTTGATACCTGTCTCTATCCGACACGGATTGACTCCATTGGTCACAGCTTCTCATTAGAACTCCGAGAATTCCCTCACGAAACTAGTCACTAGTGAGAACATGATAATCATCAGTATGGGGTTGTGGAGATTATTAAGTTTTTGATTGAAATCATGAACCGATTGATGTTAGATCACCATTGAAAATCTGAATGCAAAAACTTAATAATCTCCACAACATCATACTGATAAGTTTTAATAAGTTGAATATTATTATTACTATTCGATTCCATATGTTATATGTATAAATTACAACCTTACAACTAAGCCTACAATTATTATTATTACTATTATTATTATTGGAGTTAAGCGGAATCAATAAAAAAGTCAGTCTAGCTCAGATCGAATCATGAATTCAACTATTCCCCATTCTCATCATTAAAGCATGGTAAAACGCATATCAATAGTTAATAGGTCTACTGGAATGTTACAATAAGGAGAATATAGAAACCTAATGCAGCTATCTACTAATTATACAACGAAAATAATAATAATGTTTAAAAAAAAATAGTCCGATTGTTCTAACTTTCCCAGTATTCGTCGCTTCATAACACTAATCACTAGGATATTACAAAGTTAGACACTAATACCGTCGAATGCCAGTCATCTCAATGGTCTAGTGGCTAAACGTTCATACATGAGACTGATAGGTTCTAGTTTCTAATCTCGTGGAGAGGGATCGTGGATGCTCACTGCTGAGTAGTGTCATACTAGGACGAAACACTTGTCCAGTGATTCTAGGTTTCTTATTGTGGTCTAGCTTCAATTGATTCATGAATTCAACAATTATATATACTTCTATTATTATAATCTATCTGCCTAATTCTCATATTCTTTTAGTGTTACTTGCATTCATTAACGTGTGTTGAATGACCTACATTTAAAAATCAATAAATCCTCTTGACCTTTTATTTTTCTATGAAACATGTTCTAATAAACTATCGATCTCGGTCACGAAAGATTAACCTCTAGACTACTGAGCTGGCCGGCATCCAACAATGTTAATATATAACTTCAAATAGTCCACGAAATTGATCCATTGTCCACTCTATATTGATGTTTGTGTTGGATTGACCTACTTTCAAAAACAAAAAAGCCGATAAATCCCCTTGACCTTTTGTTCTTCTATGAAACATTCTAAATTTTTTTGATATTCTTTGTTATGATTAATTTGTTCTCTATTCAATCAACATCATATTTGTTTGTTTGTTTGTTTGTTTTCAAACTAAAGGTTTAAACAAAGCGCTTTATTAGACCGCTTTGTGTTTTGAATTTATTTATTTATTTTAAAGTAAACATGAAATCTCACTTGTTCCCTTTCACACACACACACACTCTCTCTCTCTCTGTCTCTGTGTCATATTTCAACCTTGACCTGTTTGATCTTTATAATGTCTATTTTATTCTAAGTTATAATTTCTCTTTATTACCTATGTCTATCTATCTATGCCTAACTATGACAATGATGATAATCTGAATTGATTATATCATTATAATAGCTTTGTTTCATTATTCATCAATTACTTCGATAATTGTTAATCCTATGTTTAAAATCAAAAGGTTATGCACTACTGATAATTACCATGTGCTCCACTAGTGATTAGCTTCATGAGGGAATTTTTCAGAGTTCTAATAAAAAGCCATGACCAGTGGAGCTAATCCATGTTAGTTATAGATAAATGTTAACTTCAGTACAATAAAAAATGGTTGAGATTAGACATTAATACCGTTGAATGCTGACCATCTCAGTAGTCTAGAGGTTAACTGTAGTTTATTTGCGAATAGCGTGCAGATTATAAAGCTATATAAGCATATCCAACGTTTTTGAAGTGAAAAAACGAATAAGTATATACGAGCAATTACATATATATATGCATAATAGAGTAAGCAAGGCAAAGGAAAGACTAATATTAGGATTTAAGTACATACATATATGAGGGGGTGAATGAATCATCGCGTGATATTTAACCGAACAATATTTTAGCTAAAATCTATCATATGATCTAGTGATCATAATAGTACAAAGAAATATGTGAATTGTTACTATCCAAATAACCAATATTTAACCATAATCAAAATGGATTGTAGGAGAGTTACTATCATCATATTAACAATAATAATAATAATACAAGGTGATATAATATCTATTCATTTTATTAGTTATAAAACAATGATGAATAGGATTAACAGATAACAACATCTATTTGACCATACATTAAAAGCATTCAGTCAGTCAGCTGCAACGTAGGACCAGGCACGTATATGCATCGGTCCAAGTCGCCATACCGCATTAGCACAACAAGATGAACACCGGATTCATAGAAGTAGTTAATTCAGTGGTGGTAATATATAGAAGAAAGATTGTGTATAAGGAGATAGTAAAGGAAGAAAGAATTAGTTCCTAGACAGATATGAAGCGAATTTAATCTCTTAATTTAAGGAAGACAGAGAGTGTATACACCGACGCCATTGTGATCGATTCTGAACCATGTCACCAAGAGTCTCCAACCATTGTCACCAAGAGTCTCCATTAAAAGCATTGAACATTGGGCATTCGGGTTCGAATGGGAAATTAACAGATATCGACTTACTGTCTAATCGAACTTCGACAATTTTATATATCAGAACAAATAAAATGATTCTTAATAAATCTGTAGTTCTGTTATGAATCTTAAAATAGAAAATATATTTAATAGTTAAATTCATGAGTCGATCTAAACTAACACTGGACAACTGTTTCGTCTTAGTATAGAACTCCTCAGCGGTGCGTATTCACAATCCCACATGTGGGACATGAACCGAAAACTTTCAGCTTTAAGCGAGAGTACTTAAACTTTAGACCACTGAACTGGTATCCTGTTTCGTCTTAGTATGGAACTCCTCAGCGGTGCGTATTCACAATCCCACATGTGGGACACGAACCGAAAACTCTCAGCTTTAAGCGAGAGTACTTAAACTTTAGACCACTGAACTGGTATCCTGTTTTGTCTTAGTATGCAACTCCTCAGCGGTGCGTATTCACGATCCTACATGTGGGACACGAACCGAAAACTTTCAGCTTTAAGCGAGAGTACTTAAACTTTAGACCACTGAACTGGTATCCAATGGTGTTAATGTCTAACTTCAATCAATGGTCTACAGGTTAAGCGTTCGCATGGGAGATCAAAGGACTTGAGTTTATGTCTTACATGTGGGATCGTAGATACGCACCGCTGAAAGGCCATCCAGTGCTTCCAGGTTATCAATGGTGAGAGTCACTGAGTATGTTGAACAGATCCAAATAAATCTAAGATTTTCATCATTTTAAAATACATGATACAACTTCCTTATTTTCTTAGTCAGTTTATACTATTTAATAATTTATCAATTTAAATTAAAACTTTGATGATTGACCATGAATCTAGACTAGAATTAATTTATTTTTACGGTTGATCATTTTTCAATGATGATTAAAAACAGAAGAAATATAAAATCTCTATTTACAAAATTATTATAGTAATTTCAATAATTGAGATTATGAGTTAATTGAAAGCTAGACCACAATGGAAAACTTAGAATCACTGGACAACTCTTTCGTCCTAGTATGACACTACTCAGCAATGCACATCCATGATCCTGCTCCGGGAAATTGGAAACCAGAACCTATCTGTCTCACACATGAATGCTTAGCCACTAGAACATTGAGATGGTTGG